CTGTCCAGATTTGTGACCTTGTTCAGTTGTTGCTGGCCAGCTGGCCAAGGAGCTCAAGTAAGTGTCCATTTGCCCCACAGTGTCAAACGTTGGCACGAAATCCCAGCTTGTAGATCTTCCTTGCAATATGATAGACTTTCATAAGCAGACAAAATTCATATATAATTGAAATCGAGAACTCTCGCCCTCTAAGACTCCTACTGACGAACAGACTCGATATAACATAAATGTTATACGTAGTACCGCAGTCGCTTGATGCATCCTCCACCACGACTTTTTTTACAATGAGTGCTTTCTGAATTTCCTCGGTATGTTTGTGTTTTTTTTCTCTATACTCTGGGCTACCTCCCTCCCCACTTCCATGTCCTTCAACTCCTTCCCCTGCTTTTGACGTGGCAGTAGTGAAAAACCACCGTAGATGTTTATCTCTCGACGAATCAACGGCGGTGAAATCGGCAGCAACGTGCGGAGCGAGGTTGGAACCGCCAGATGTTATTCTCAAAGGTATGGATGCGAACAGTGCGGTTCAGGCAGCGCAGTGACGTGAACAACCTACATATGGCACCTCCCAAGAACCTCACCGCTATAGTGGTTGCCATACCTATCCCCACCATAGCTTGAGCAATCATCTCAACGCAAACGCCCCCCCCCTTTTACCAATGCGACCAACGTTTGGCTGAGGGTTACTTCAAAATTGCTAATAAACTTGAAAATTAAAAATAAAAACTAAAATCAAACCAAAACATACCCCTTGGAAGTCAAAACCTCTTTAACCCTCTTTAAAACCCATGTATACTCCTCTTTCCGCCCTTCAAAACATATATATACCACCTCTATAAGGCACTCTGCCCACAAAACATTCAAATATAATGTATGAGCATTCTATTCGAATATAATGCCCTTGTATCCTATTCGAATATAACGGCCGAACGTTATATTCGAAGGGATATTCTATTTGAAAAAAAATGAATAAAAACGAATATCTGATCTTTTAAGGGTAAGTTAAATATAACGCCCGGGTGGAGACGATAGTTTTAAACATGTTATTTGTTAAAATAAGACAGTATATTGTGTCCTCTTTCTAACGAATTCATTTTTGGTTGCAGCCTAACCAACGTAGGCACGCGCATCTAGGGCTTAACCACATGAGGAAGCTTGCTGAGATCCATACTTGTTAAACTTTATAAATGAGATCCCAAATATGGAAGCGTGCTGAAATCCATACTTGTTAAACTTCATAAACGAGATGAGCAAGGTATCATGATTGAATCCTCGTTGGATAATATAATTCTTTAGGTTACCCATAAGTTGTACAGGCATGTCCATCCTCTAACCTAAGGCGGTTGTTTGGATGTTTGATGAGATTCGGACTAACGATAGGCACGCCCATCCGGGAACCCTATGCGGAAGTGTGTTGAGGTCCATAGTTGTTAAACTTAAAGTTTATAAACGTGATGAGCAAGGTGTCATGATTAAATTCTTGTTGGATAATACATTTCTTTAGGCTATCCCTAAGTTGCGCAGACATGCCTATCATCTCGTCCGAGACAGTTGTTTGGATGTTGATGAGATTCAAACTTCTTTAGAACACTTAGTGTGATGATGGACACGCTTACCATCTCGCCCGCCATGCGAAAGTGTGCTGAGATCCATACTCGTTTACAATTGTGATGAGCAAGGTGTCATGATTGTATCCTTGTTGGATATGTTTGCTTTGAACAATGTGTCATTGTAAACTTCAAGTAATGTAACAGTTACAGTAGTAGTCGAAGTACAACTCAAAGATATTCACGATTCGTCTTGCAACAAAAAGTTAGTTTTGACATACAAGTTCGTTTTCTGTGACAACACCTGTCATATTACACAATAACTTCAAATTTTGCATATTTTTGATCGAATTCGCACTTTAATTGACCATGCACAAAAGATTTGGGTACGAACGCAAAGTTGTTGGCGACATGTAATGTAGGAGGTCACAAGACATGTGATTCTATGCGCACTCAAGCGACATGATGTTAGTGGTCCTTGCATAATGAATCGCACACGCACACACTCGCCGAGATTTGTCTTGCCTCCACCCACCAATTTCTCATGTCGCACAAGAATTACCGATATTATCTGATGTCAATCATATGTACATTTTTTTGTTGACCTTAACACAATTTGAAACAAGGAACGCAATGCGCACTTGCTCCGCCACATGAGAGACGACCGTGACATGACAGAGATTTGAAAGTCAACACGTGACCCTATACTGACAGTGAACATGCCAAAGACAACTCGAACTCGTAACCATAAAAAAAAGCAATATTTTTTTTCAAACGACAGTTGAGTAATGTCAGGATTTACAAAATATAATCATTAATGAATGAAATATTTTCAAAAGAAAGTTTATAAGTCAATCAAATTCATAAAAGACAACGACGTTCTAAAATACATGATGCCAATTGTCGTCTGATAAGCTTAATATATTCACAAGAGAATCTGAAAGGTGGTCGATCACCACGTTGCAACAATGGCGCAAACATCAACATGAATTCCCCGCAACTAACTTCATCCACTCGTTTTGGAACTCCTTCCACCATAACATTTGCTGCTATGGACTTCCAACTTCTACCCGACCTCATATGTAATGTTGGACATTCAAAATATTGTACAATCAACTCGAAAACACTAAGGTACAAACTTGAATTAGCTATAACGTGAGGAAAAAAATCGAAAATTTTGAGGACATTATCTCTCAAGTTGTCAAAAAGGAGGATCCACTGATCATTATCTTTGTTGACAGGAACAAAGATAATATCATATTGAAGCAGATCTACTTTTTTAGCCTACCTTTTCACCCCACCGTGTCCTTGAAGTTGCAGTTTACTGAAGAAGAACGAACTAAAGTTGACGACTTGAAGTTTTGTCGGAACGTCACATATCGCACATGCGGTCGACCCCAATAACGCCATGTAAAAATTGATCACCTCATCATTCACCCTGCTGTCGATCAACATAAAAATTCCCATAAGAAATGAAAGTTGAGAAAACATTCCATAAAAAAAATCCAATGTTTGTCCAATTCTAAAATTTTCAATTTAATTTGATAAGTTCTCGTCTAAATATGAGCTTCCCCTTCCAACTACATCTATTTGTTCAAGATGGAATGAAAGTCTGGACAAGTTTATGAAATGTTTTAATTAGACTTTCATTCTACTACAACAAATATCGTCTAATTTATATTGGATTAACCTATTTATGACTGAAAATCCTTACTTAAAATGACAGTCCAATTTAAATATTTCATGAACTCATCAAGACTTTCATTCCATCTCTAGCATGCAGTTCAAATAAGAAGGGATACCCCATTCTTGGAAGGAAAGTTTTCAAGTAAGACGAGAAATTTTAAAATGGGAATGACATTTTTTAAGATGGAATGGAAATTTGAAATTTAGAATGTAATTTTACTCTAGAATGATTATTTAATTCTGGAATTTTTTTTTATTGATATGCAAGAAGGTGAGAAGATCTTTTGCTACAATTCGCAATTGACCATCGACGAGGGTAGAGAGAACAGTGTGAGGTGGCGCCAAGCCTCGTTTAATGTCGTTAAAAACCCGCAAGCTTCGAGGCGTCGTCGCTGCAACAAATCTCCCCCCTTGTATTCCACGTGTTATGACCCGCACTGCATAACATCGAGAAAAGGACACGTAGTGTAGTGAGAAACAGAGTTATAAGCATTGTCCTCCATGGCACGACGCGTTGCTAATTGTTTTTCATACATGACATAACCCCTACTCACAGATTGTGAATATGTCATTTTCTCTGGGGGCAGAAGGGAAAGACACGCCTCAATGGCAATGACATGCTCCTTCTTCCCAATCTCGACATCAACCCCTGATGCCTTTAACATATTCCTGTGGTTTGTCGTCAACTCGGAGACTTTCTGCAATATGTGTTCCAGATATTTCGAGGACCTCAGTGTTCGAGATGACCCTACCTATGTACAACAGAAGAAAGACAAAATGAAAAATAAATACACGTTTCCGAACATAAATTCGACGAAAGTGACAACGAAAAGTTTTTTCAAAATTAAATAATAATTCTATAGTAAAATTATAATATAAATTTCGAATTTTCATTCCATCTTAAAAAATGTCATTCAAATTTTAAAATTTTTTATCTTACTTGCAAACTTTCATTCCTAGAATAGGGTATCCCTTCTTATTTGGACTGCATGCTAGAGATGAAATGAAAGTCTGGATGGGTTCATGAAATATTTTAATTGGACTGTCATTCTAAGTAAGGATTTTCAGCCATAAATAGGTTAATCAAATCTAAATTAGAAGATATTTGTTGTAGTAGAATGAAAATTTAATTAAAACATTTCATAAACTCGTCCAGACTTCTATTCCATCTTGAACAGATAGATGTAGTTGGAAGGAAAAACTCATATTTGGACGGGAACTTATCAAATAAAACTGAAAATTTTAGAATTTGACGAACATTGGAATGATAATTTATAAATATGAAGGATTTTTTTTTTTGTGGAATATTTTTTCAACTTTCGTTTCTCGTGAGAGTTTTTCTGTTGGACAATGTGAGAACCACATAATCTAAAAGATGTAGGACCTCTCAAATTATAGAACCCCGATTTTGCATGGCCATGAGCATCGAGGTGCGTATCTGAGACTGAAAAATAAAACGACTAGCGCATTCGAGCTTGACACCCCCTCCCTTCACAAAGGAAAACCACCACAAGTCAAAGAAGCGCAAGACCAACATTCCCCGAAGTTTGGATTTCGGCGGACTTTTTCCCACAACAGGCACACAGCAACTAACCACATTACGCATCGACACAAGAAATGCGGATCCCGGCGGACTTAAACCACCACTCTTTCCGAGAAGAAAAAAACGTCATTCCATTGAGTTGGTCAGGTTCTTAGCCAGGGAGACTTTTGTGAGGAATGATTTATTAAAAACACACTTCATAGAATGATACATCCTTCCGTTGAAGGAGTGTTACCTTTTTGTTAAAGTTTTCCCTGCCCACGACCAACAACATGGCTAACTCACAAGAAGGTCGATGACATGTAGTTGGAAGGACTGGTGGCTGTAGCATCCGAAACTCCTCGGATCGACAGACAGTATGGACACTCCTTGTGTGCATGGCACGGACTGTAGTCCGCCGACATCCGGACTACGAAGGAAGCCGCACTCTCGCTCTCGGAAGCCTGGACGCATAGACAGTGTGGCGTTCTTCACAGCTTACCAACCGATTTGTCTCTCCGCTCCTTCATCGGTGAAGTTGGCGCGGGCAAAGCCAGCACGTCGAGAGTTTGAGTTCCGACCCTATATTTTTTCGGGGACATGACATATTGTCGTCCCCCGACCTCACCTTCCCCTCTGTTGGCAAGAGTGGCCAACAGTATCGGAGAGTTCGGCGGCGAGAAAACGAAGGCAACTGCCACAAAAGGTTTGACGTTGCGAGTGTCGTCGAAGTCATGCGTTGTGGACGGATGCGCGGACACGTGCTGGTCGCCGAGGATGTCATCGATAACTTCTTCGATGCTTATACAATAACTTGCTCTAAATGGGCTCATAGCAATAGAAGCCTCGTCGAACCGGTGTTGCAGATCGACGACAGACGTTAGTGGTTGGACCTCATAGTCTTCAGGTTCTGCCGAAAGGCTGCTGACAACCTGTGTCTCTATCTCCATTGTCATCTCATCATCATCGACATCATCCTTGCGATGCTCATCGTACAGTTGTTCGAACTCATCAAACGACTCTCTAAATCCGACATCGTCCTCACTGTCCTCCCCTTCGTCGTCTCCAATACCCACGTCCCCTTTGGCACCCTCTTTTCCTTCAAGCAATTCAATCAACCATGTTTCTCCCCCTTCCTCTGCTTCCTCCCCTTCTTCCCCTTTCTTCCCTTCCTCCATTTCCCCCTTCCTTCCCTTCCATGCAATTCAACCCCTTCTCCCGAACCCATGTCGAATCCCGATGACCGCCCTTCTTTCTCCACGCACGCTGCGCCTGCCGGCAGCATGACAATCCCTGACGGACCCCCCCTGCCTGAAGAAGTTTGGATCTCGGCTGACTTCGTCGTCTCCGCGTCGCCGGACCCTCCACTTGTACCCTATCGTGCCAATCCCAACAACCGTCACTCCCCCTCAGGCGATGCATTCCCGTCCCTCACCGCACCACTACCAATTGTGTGATCCTGGCTCGACACCCCCACCCCGACCAGCTCTACACGGCCGACCGCTGTGGCGGCACCTCAACCGACGTAGTTCAGATCTCGGCGGACTTTAACGTTTCGCCCGAGCGACAACCGAGAGCAACCAAGACTGCCCTTGTCGCCCTCGCTGAATCAGCGGACGAAGTCGGGAGGTGGCGGAGTGCGCCGCATGCTCCGGCCCGGAGCCAGTAGACGGATGCCGATCGACGACCGAACTCGCCACCCAACCGCTGCCTTCCGTTGTCTCTGTGTCGCCCCGAGACCCCCCCTCCCCACTGAGCGAGACTCCTTTGCCACACCCCACACTGTCACCCCCGTCCCCTCCACCGCCTGGTGGGCCCCCCCGGAACTTCTGTGCGCCCCACTGGGAGGGGGCACTTTCCAGTCCACCATTGCCTTCAATGGACTCGTGTCGAGCTCGTAGAAGTCCTCCATCAGTTCCAACCAGCACTTGTCCTGAAGCTCGTTGAACAGTTGTCCGACTGTGGAAACGACAGATAGTTGTGGGGTGCAAACGTGCTATTTTCGGCCGTCAGTTTTTGGAGGACCAAAATCCTCGCGAGGAGTAGGAGGTTGGACTTCGACTCGCGAGGGATGGACACCCATCCTTCGCCCAGGACAACGACGACCATGATCCACTCGCCCTTTTGTATCGCGGGTTGGATGACTCCTGGATGCCAAATCATATCATGACCCTAGTCCACCTCAGGCTAATGACTTTGCGGCTCAAGAAGGAAGTGAATGTTGTCATCCTTCCAAGACGGATGATCGGGCGGGATGTCAGATCCGGGACGCAATGGGGGAGGGGGGACGACCAGAGCTTTCAGTCTCTCCAACAACTTCATCGGGGTAGTGCCCGACGCTGGTTTGGCCATCAGTTAGACGATGGATGGGGGGCTTGTTGACAGACCGGCCGACGAGGACCCTCGGGCATGCTCTGTCGGAGGTGGGTCATACTCCAGGTCGAGACTCTCTGTGTCGCTCCCCTCCTCCTTCGCGTTGGCGTCTAACTCGACACTGGTGGCTGCCTTGTCACTAGTGGAGATCAAGGACGCGTAACTGTCGAACTTCAACTCCTCCTCGGACTGGACGAAGTACAGGGACTGCAGCCTTTCAAGTAAGGTCTTCGCGTTCATGTGGGAGGCGCCATGATAGTTGTCGAGCAACGAGAACATGAGGTCCTTGCGGCGGACGTACTCGGCGTCAGTGTCCTTCCTCGACCGCATTTGCAGGAACAAGAAGTCGTATATCTTGTTCCTCTTCCTCTCACTCAACTTGAACCACATGTCCATCTTGTTGCTCCACACGTGATCCCGTGTCGCCTTCATGACCATGAACTCGCAATTATGGGTCCCCAAATTGACCTCACTTTTGACGAGTTGCATCATGAATTGCAACAGGTTGGAGTTCCCTTCCATTACGACAATGTGCAGACCTGCCTTCAGAAGTTCCCATACGTTTCGCGCGTGCGACTTCCCAAGGAAGACGACACCCTCTTCCTTTTTGCTAACGAAATCAAGAAAACCGATGGATTGTGTTGGATTGCGTTCCATGTCCACAAGACACTGCCCTGTCTTCCAGGCGCTGTCTGTGACCAATCGCAAGGCGTAAAGGGAATCTCCGACACATCCGTCTGGGTAACCTTCTTAGGCAACAACACCGCACCAGCGACACCGTTTGACAACTTTCCCTCGTAAATGAGAGACATGTTAACTAGCAGATCGTCACCCTTGAAGAGGATATACATGCGGTCGTCTTCCATGTACAAATTGTTCCCGACGGTGAAAATTTTCTTCTGTTGATTCCTCCTCACCCACTTCCCTTTCAGCAACTTCATGAAAGAAAGATGGTGGATGTTGGCCATAAACGAGAGGTTGTGCTGCTGTGGCACAAAAACGACGAGCGTCCAATGCGACAGACACCACGTCATAAGACGGAAACTCAAAGTCTCGAACGCTTGCGGTTTCCATAACTTCAGGTCAACCGGTCAACGACCCTTTGGAGGTGGACCCTTTGGAGGTGGACCCTTTGGAGGCGAACCGGTTGACCACTTGTGGCAGCCACCGCTTCCTTCAGCTCTGCACTCCTGATGTCCGCCTCCAAAGGGTCGTTGCCGAAAAGTGCAATGGATGTCACGTCCCTTGTGTCTTTCCATTTTGTGTGCACAATGTCTTCGGCAAGTGCGATCTCTCGACTCTTCAGTCTACTCCCAGTCAACACGAAGAGAACCTTGTTTCTCTAGTCGACGGTCAACTTCCTGTGGTCGGCCAACTTTTCCGTCGCCTCAATCGAATGGTCCTCGTCTCAACCCATCTATGGCGGACAGTCTTGAACAACACCTAGTCAGAAACGTATTTCCTGCCACCGTCCCACAAATTACCATCCAATCCTCGACTTTCGAAGTGTTTGAAAATAACAAACTTTGTAACCGCCCGGGTATGAAACGTTCGACTTCGAAACAGAAGCAGCCTGCATCAGAACCTTCCTCGCCAGGGCCTCCCATCGATGTCGACATCAGGTAATTCCTGGAGTACAAAGACGGCGTCAAGACAAAGCGGGAGTTCGAGACTAGCCCGGCGCAGGTCATCGACCTCGGGGAGTGGGAGGATATGTACAACCAGCAGTCCCTGGATCCCGTCCTCGTGGAAGAGATCAAAGAAGCGATGCGGTTGACATTCGATTACAAAGAACAATCGTACGAGTTGTCAACCCTAAAGCTGGCACCGCTAGGGCTGCGAAAACCAACTCCCAGGGCCAAGGCCGTACGTCTAAAGTCGGAGGAATAGAAGGACGAGATGGCGGGCCAATACTACTATTGCGTGGTGTGTGGGCAGCACAACGCGGCTGCAGCCAGGTCACTGCTCAGCATCGAGGTGGCCAAGAAGTAGAATTTCACGAGGTGGCCGACACATATGGTGTATTTTTCGAACGACGACTTGGAAGGGTATTTCCTTGTTAGTTCATAGGAGAACAAGAAGGAATTCTAGGCACCTCCAAGACAGCTGAAACTGTCGATAAAAGACATTCGGTGGCAGTGGAAGCAGGACAGTTTCCCTAGAGTTGTTATGGGGAACCCTAGCGGGAAACAAGAACAGGTCCGGAAATGGCGTAAGTTTTGTACGATGGCGCTCCATAAGAGGTCATACAACAACTTATCGACTCCCGCGGATCAAAAGGGGGAGGACGCCATCAAGAAGCAAAACGCTGCCCTGTGTTCTTATTTTCCTTTGGCGATGGCCTGACAGAATGTCTGGAAACTGACCGTGGATTTTTTTTAGAAATGGGAGACAGGTAGATTGTTGGGTCACAACGGAGCAAAGTGGATCATTAGGAAGACGTTCAGAAACGCCAAGTTGGGGGCCCGACAGGTTGGGCAGAAAGGAGGTCATTTACAACATCCCCATGGAACCGCCGAAGAAGAAAGGCAAAAGGGAGAAAGAGCAGGGCGATTGGTTCGTGCAAGTGCCTGAGTCGAACACACATTGTTGGAAAGCGATGGAAGCACTCACCGACAATGAGAAGTGTCGAGTTCTGAAGAAGGTGTTTGCTTGCGAGGTGGTTTGGGTCCAGGTTTCTCCCCCTCCTTGGCGAAGCTGGGGAAGCTCAACGTGCAGGAGATGGTGCAGTTGGTGAAGTGCGACCTCGTGCTGGTGCGGTTGTGGAATTACTACCAATTCAAGCATGAGAAGAGGCCAGACGCGGATTGGATCCAAAAACACCCGGGTTGTTCACAACACCCACTCCGAACCCCTCGAACAAATCCATGTCCAACAGCGCTCTCTTGGAATTGGCAACGACGTTGCTCTTCGCACCGTAAACAATTTTCATATAGAACTGTTGCCGACTTCCTTTCACGTCCTCCCACCTCAAGACGGCCCCAAACACCCTACACCTCTTGTCGGCATTGACGAAGATGACAAGACCACACAGCTGCTTAACGGGGTTGGAAGCATCTCCACAACACCAGTCGACGAACCATTTCGACCTTGTGTGGTCAGGCCACGATTTCGAGGCCGTAAACGATCGTCTTGTGGAATATTTTTCTGATTCCCTCTCGGAGGTCCCAGCAGGCTCCCCCTCGCCCCTCGACGAAGACATCGTGTTTGCGGACGACGTTGCAAATGAAGCAACCCACCACGCGGTTAGGATTGGGCAAACCATAGCAACAACAGTCCAGTCACAGTCAAACCACAGTGCAGGTTGTAATGAAGCATTACGAACACAAACTGCAAACCTTGTTCTGCACACGTTCGCCTCATTGCATCGTCTTAAAAGCAAGAAGTTCGAATTACGGCGAACTTTGCACACGAAGACTCTCCAACACCCCCGTCGAACAATGCGAACAATCTTTGCGAAGGGAATACACGTCATGCGACTATTCCTTGCGCGGGCCTCGACACGGCTATTATTAACACGAGCATCATTGACGACAGCGTAAGGACATAACCCAAGTTCGCCGAGATCCGAACTTCGAATACTGCGGGAAGGGCAGTGTGGTACATCAGAGTTACCAAGACGAAAAATATCTTAACACAGCACGGAACCCTCAGTTCTCGCGTTTGTGGAAATGAATTTGGATTTCTCTCTCGTTCTCTGCGAATAACAAATTTGTGTCGACAGCGACAGTGAACCACACGACCCGTGCCGCATTGTATGAAGTTCGGATCTCGGCGAACTTCGACCGAAACCGTGTGACATTAACGAACTTCGTTTCAAGTTGAATTGCCAAAGCTTTAAATCTCTGGAGATGTAAAGCTCTGGGTCGTTTGGAGTTGAGGCCCGATGACAGTTTCGACAATCGTCACAAGCGTGGTTGTAGGGGCCTCGATGCGGCCAACCTTCACACTCGCATTGTTAGCAGCGAAAGGGCATAGCCGAAGTTCGTCGGGATCCGAACTTCGGAAACTGTAGGAAGGGTTGTGTGGTCCACCAGAGCTATAAACACGGAAAGTGTCTTTGGAGAACATAGTCTGAGACCTCCAGTTCCCACGTTCGTCGACAGGGACTTGGAGTTCTCCTCTGTTTTTTGCCAAGGTCGATGCCTCACGGATACCGACAGTGAACCATATGACACTTGCTGCATGGTTTGAAGATCGGATCCCGACGAAATTCTATTAAATTCGTAGCTCGGATGCCGACGAACTTCCAGTGTTCCACAATCCCAGAAGGCCCACCAAACTCGCCCCAGTTGTGTTTGAGCATCACGAAAGACCGCCTAAACAACCGATAACCTGCGGGAACTGGAGGGGAATTCTATTTGTGGAGTGTGAAACTCTGCTCAAAACAGATCCAGATCCAACAAGAAGGCCCACCAAACTCGCCCGAGTTGCGTTTGGGCATCACGAAAGACTGCCCGAACAACCGACAACCTGCGAGAACTGGAGAGGAATTCTGTTTGTGGAGTCTGAAACTCTGCTTAAAACAGATCCAGATCCAACAAGAAGGCTACCAAACTCGCCCCGGTCGTGTTTGAACATCACGAAAGACAGCCCAACAACTGATAACCTGCGGGAACTGGAAGAAAATTCTATTTCTGGAATGCAAAACTCTGCTAAAAACAGATCCGGATCCAACAAGAAGGCTCACCAAACTCGCCCCAGTTGCATTTCAGCATCATGAAAGACTGCCCGGACAACTGATAACTTGCGGGAACTGGAGGGGAATTTTGTTTGTGGAGTGCGAACCTCTGCTCAAAATCCAGATCCAACAAGAAGGCCCACCAACCGAGATCTCCATGAACTTCATGAAGTGCTAAACTCGCGTGATGGACACCTTGTGGCAACTGAACCCCATATCTGTTCAGGCAGCACAAAACTTTGTGCCAAATGGATCCAGACCCCGCACCAAGGTCCCCTAAGAATGCTTTTGGCAATTCGCAAAGATAACCACCGACTGTTTGACACTTCTTGTAGGTGGTCGGGCGACAAACACATCGGGACTGAACCTATTATGCAACTGGACGTCTGAGTCAGCGATGCAACATGAATTTGTGAAGTCCAAATTCCGGCGGACTTAGATTGTGGGTGTGTCGTACGGGAATTGCATGGTGACCCTGTTCGAAGGTCGCGCCGCCCCAACACTGAAACCGAAGTTGAAGTCCTTCGTCGTCATAGTACAATGGCCAAGCTTACGACATTTGAATTTCACAGACTTCATGAAAAGTGGTTGGATGTTGGATGTCGGTGAACACGGTTGGTGGACACGCCCTGCTGGGACGATGGGGTTGTTGGTCGGGGTGGCTAGTGGCCTCTGCTCAATATGCGAAGTTCGGATGCCGGAGGACTACATTTCGTTTTGAAGCTTATGGGCTTTGTGCAAAGTGCGAACAAATGAGGGCTGCAAGTCACCTGACGCCGGTGCTGGTTATTTAACGATTCACACGCAGGGGTGCATTGTGAGCGATGCTATTCGATGTCAGGATTTGGGCGGACTTCGTCCTTTGGCAGGATACTAGCGAGAAAAGGTAGTTGTTGCTGTTCAACCAGCAATGCCACAAAGTCCGTCAACATCCGAACTTCTTCTATTGACCATAAATAGCAAATATGTGAAGTTAGGATGCCGACGGACTTCGTGCATTCACGCGTGGTCTGCAGTGACTAGGG